CCCCCAAGCTGCAAGATTTGGCATGAGTCGCTCATTGTCCGTGCCCTTTCGCACCGGCGATCACTCCCTGCCCTTGCCAGCTCTTGGGATGTTACACCCTATATATATATATATATATATATATATATATATATATATATATATATATATATATATTCTTAGCATCTTACACCAGTGTAAGATAAATAAGTCTTACACCAAATCTTAACTGTTGATTTTCATGTATCTAATGATTAAGATTTATTGAGTCTCACTCATTAATTAATTATTCATTTTCAATAAATCTCAACCATTAGATGCACGAAAATCAACAGTTAAGATTTGATGTAAAATTTATTATTCTTACCCTGGTGTAAGTTGATCCTCTTATATATATATATATATATGAGAGGATCTAATCTCATGTTGTAGGAGATACTCCTCTCATGTCATAGACCCATCGCATGGTGGGTCCCACCATGTGTTAAAAAATAAATAAAATAAATAAAAGGCACGTTTATCGATGTATCTATAACATAAGATAAATCTCTCAGATTAAATGAGAAAATAATTTTCCTATATATATAGGAAACAATATTTCTCAGGCAACTAGAGATAAGTTTATCTCCGACCACCCCAAAAACTACGTCGTTTGTTTATTTATTTCCTTATATTAATTAATTCACCTTTGAATGATTATGATTATCTTTTTCTCTCTCTTCCTTTATCACCATTGATCCATCTTTGTACGGTTATGATTTAGTAGCCGAGATAAAATTATCTAGAGCAACTTGAGAAATGATAAGCCTATACATATATATATATATATCAAGTCAATCGAGATAATCTTATCTCTGATTATCCTAAAATTACGTTAGTTTTGGGTGATAAGAGAATTAATTAAAGGTGTTTTAAATTTTATCAAAACAACCTTCAATAGTTCTCCTAGTACGCAAAAAACGTAGTTTTGAGTGGCCGGATATAAGGTTATCTCAAATAACTTGAGAAACGAATGATTAACCTATATATATATATATATATATATATATATATATATATATATATATACATATATGAATAAGTTATTTTATTTACCATTTTTTCTGCCTGCCTTTGCCTACCACTCTCCAATACCGTTAGATCAGAATCTAAATAAGAGAGAGAAAGATAAATGTTAATTAAGATTCTGATCTAACGGTATTGGAGAGTGGTAGACAAAGGTAGGTAGAAAAAATGATAGGTAGAATAACTTATTTCACACACACACACACATATATATATATAGGGAAAAACATTTCTCAAGCAGCTTGAGATAAGTTTATCTCCGGCTACTCCAAAACTACGTCGTTTTATTTATTTATTTCCTTATATTAATTGATTCACCTTTGAATGGTTATGATTCCCTTTTTCTCTCTCTTCCTTTATTACCATTGATCCATCTTTGCACGATTATGATTTACTAGCCGGAGATAAGATTATCTCAAGCAGCTTGAGAAATGATAAGCCCATATATATATATATATATATATATATATATATATTTATTTATTTATTTAAGGCTTTACTTTCCTCCAGCCACTTGACGTTCAGCAAATAAATTCATGGAATCATAACCATACAGAGGTAGGTAGATCAAAGTATTAAATGTTGAAAATCATAACCAATTAATAATGTAAGATTTATTGCTGGACGTCCAGCAGCCAGAGAAATAATTTTGCCATATATATATATATATTAATGTTTCTATAGTGAATACAAATAAGTTATTTACATTTATTTTCAAAACGACGTCGTTTTAGATTGAAAGATTAAAAAATTATAATGATAAAAATTATTATAATCTTGAAATAAATTATAATTACAATAATACAGTGATTTTTGTCCCAGAATAATATTATTTTGGGCTCAATGTAAATAATGTATCTGTATTCACTGCAGAAAAAATGAACCCATATACATAATATTAGATTATCTTATAAAAAATTTCTTCGTATAGAATCCTACAAACCTACTGGGAATTTGAAACTCTGAAAATCACTACTTTCTTTCGTTTTGTGTCAATGATTTTGGACAAATTAATGGAAGTAAGAGACAAAGAGGGACCCAATCCTATGTAATGTGATTTCTTCAGCTATTAATGTGACCATTCTAATCAATTGGAACAATTTTGGTTCCTTAATTAACTAACGGACTAAATTTGACCTAAATTAGGTAATTAGGTACAATGAATCAATTGAGTTATATTCATAGTTGATCCTTACCTTCACGTACAAAAAATTCTAACATGCTTTTAGGTTTTAGCTATCACAGCTTCTGCTATAATAATTATTAAAATTATAGCAAATATTCAACTGATTCCTCCTAAATCAGGCTAAATTTTGCTAATGGATATATGCATATCATGCGTACTTGCCTACCCCGGTGACTTTTCATGAGATTAGAACTTTTATTTTATTTTCCTTTTACTTTTTTTAATGAAAAAAATTAATTAACCTCCTTGAGGAATACATGCATGGAAAGAATGCTACAAGTCGTTCGTTTGATTATAGCAAAATGATAAAAACAAAATAAAGTAATTATAATCATTCGATTTTTCAAGTTAAAGAACAAACTAACCACACACAAGAACTTTCTGCTTTGCAAAAATATTATAATCAGAGACAATATCTTTGTAAAAATTTAGACATTCTCTGCTATTTTACAAGAAACAAAGGAATGTGACAATCTTGGAGTTTGGGCTTATGTAAATCAGAACTCCATCATAAAGCAACAGACTTTCTTTATTATTGGATTTTCACAACGGATAAGGGGGCAAAAGCCCAATTTGTCATAAATTTTTGGATTCATAAGTTCTTCCATTTATATAGACTTTGCATAATCTGAAAAACAGGGGCCTAATAGAATCGCAAAAAGTTAAAACCAATTTGTCATAAATTCTTAGATTCATAGGTTCTTCCATTTATATAAATGGTACTTCCATTTATATTCTTGATCCTCAAATAATCCAACTAATCAATTAAAATTCAGTTGATTAACAAACTAACTTTGTAATTGAATCGCAAAAAGTTAAAACCAATCGTATACACAAATATTAAGTAAATGTATATCAACCATTGGAACCTTGACTTATTGGTGATGACCTGTTCTATTTCACTGCTGTAATTAACTTGTTACAGCACAATATCTTGATGAAGGTCAAGTGCTACATTATTTTCTGGGAATTCCAAAACCCAGATTTCAACCAAGTTTAATCCTGTTCCCAGAATTATACCCTGTTGGTATTCAAGATTAATTCTTTTCCTTCACTTCAAATTATCCCTAACTTCATTTCAAATAATTTCAAGACAATGGCAAATTATATTCGAACAAAACAGATTTCTGTTAACTGAAAATAAAAAATTATGCTTCACAAATCAATTTGATTGATGGGTCTTCACCATTTGATCCATAATCCAGAAAAAGAATTAGAAACACATTGTAACACGAACATAAAAGACAATACTCAAATTGAAAATAAACTGCATTGTACAAATCTTCAAATGTAAACAAGTATTCAAGTACAGACCATTGAACTTCAAATATCATTGTTCATAAAAGAACTAATTAGCATAAAGAAGTCTGAATTCACACAATACAACACTGGAAATTGATCTTCTTGAGTTCCCTCCAAGAATCTCTTCCTTCTTCGTGCTTATTTCCAAAAGAACTGAAAACTGACTCCTCAAACTTCCAAACTAAAAACTAAAAAAAACAGAATTCAAAAGCTTCAAATTGTCTGCTGACCCTACGATCATGCTGCATGCAATGGTCGGACTTCACCTCATATCAGCCTCCTGCCCACATGGCTCATTTGCTGCAATGACATGGCAAAGTATAAGTGTTATTCACAAAAATGCCATCCAATCTACCAAATACCTTTATGGGCCAATCCTTTATAATTTGGACGAATTAACCTGCAATTTAAGTAACTTAACAGCCCAAAAGATTTTAAAACATGGGTGTTAAACAATGTAAACTGACAAACTAACAATACACTAATAATTCTTACTTTATTAGTACCGAAAAAAGACTAAATATAGTGATTAAAGTAGAAAACAATGGTGGCAAATGCAAAATTAATGTGACTCACCTGGGACAATCTAAGAGCATCATTTTATATCTGATACAACTAAGAACCTCTCAAAGAAACATGTGACCAATTTCCTCAAAATTGACCAAAACCTATGCGCTGGAGGGGTTTGAAGTTTCAGGAGGGTTGTAAACTTCTGGACCAGTAGGACCTGGAATATCTGCTACACCAATTGTTTCATCAAGATTTTCATTATCAGCAGTCTCAATATGTTTCTCCTTGGCAACTTCATCAGTAACATGTTCCTCTTGGGCAACCGCATCAGTAACATGTACCTCTTTGGCAACCTCATCAATAACATGTTCCTCTTTGGCAACCTCATCAGTAACATGTTCCTCTTTAGCAGCCTCCTCATCAGTAGCATGTTTCTCATTCTCCTTAAACGTTGAAATCATTCTCTCCATGTCCAGAGCAAGTAAGATCGCCTGTGCTTCAAGGATACCATCCCTAAGTCCATTCAAGTATATAGCACTCATCAGATCTTGAAACTCTTCTGAGTTCTGGAAGCCTTCAATCCCAGCATCATAAAGCCTCCGTAATTCTTCATCCCTTCCCTTCAAAACAGCAGCCAGCTTCTCATACTTTGCAACACCTTTGCAGCCTACTTTTCCAATGGCTGTGTGCATCTCTGTGCTAATCCAAGCAGAATTAGAGTCAGAAATCTTTGTTGCCTTTGCTTCGGCATCACCAGTACCATCAAGGTTGTGATGCTTCTTTGAAATAAGCTCAGCAGATTGAGTGTTGAATTTCTCAAGCAATTCATCATATTGAATTTTCGAACAGCTGGCGGTATCACTATCTTTATTCTGATCAACCCTTTCATTTTCAAATTCTTCTAATCTCTGGTGCAGTGCTTTGTGTTCCTCCTTCAACTTCCAATATAGTTTACTCTTGGCCTCTGATTCACAACTTTCCGGCTTCATCATCATGAATGCTTACAACAAAGGATCCTCAGAGCTAGGAACCATCACTGTAGTCCCATCCAGTACTTGTTGAATCACAGGTGGTGCTTGAATAGGTCCTTTATGGCTCCCCCTACTTAACACGGTATTTAGTATTGCGTCTATATCAAGAGTAGGAAAGCTTTTCTTTGCTTCCAGGAGTCCATTGAAGATTCCTTCTATGTATATCTTCTTTTCTACTTGGGGTAGTAGTAGTAGACCTTCAACTTCATGGTGTTCTACCTCTGACTCTGGGAGTAACCATGCAACCCTATTACCCTTGTTTAAGGCAGCACACATGGTTGTCTGTATATCTAGAGAAGGAAAGCTATTCTGTGCTTCAAGAAGTCCATCCTCCATTCCCTCCCAAAATATTCCGATCATTCTATCTTGCTGTTGGGGATCGCTGCCACTTCCCTGATGGCCAGAGCTTGAAGCTTCTCCTACATCGATAGGAGGCTTTGATTCAACCCAAAAGTTTGAAGGCTCACGTTCCTCATCATCAATTTTATTATTAATCTCTAGCCACGCTGCAAGGATGGAGTATTTATCTTCTAGAGCTGATCCTGTTCCACAAGGTTTCTCCGAAGGTCGATTGGATTCTAATACATCCTTAGCCTGCCTCGATATCTCCTTCAAACCTCCCAATAGAACTTGATGTTGCTCTATATCAAAATTTTCATAGGCAAAACCCCATCGTTCTTTGAGGCCCATGGATTCCATCAACATTCCATCAAAAATTTGATCAAGACCTAAGCTCTCTATCATCTTCATTTGTTCCATCCTAGAATCCCTTGTAGGAATTATTGTCTGTGATATGTTAGCTATATCTGAGTACTTAGGATCAGGACACATGAATTTGACATCATCGACTTTGGTTCCTTGTTTGTACACAAAAACTCCCCAACAACTTAAGGTGGCTTCATATGAAATCTGCACTAGGTTCCAATCATGCTCAAGAAACGCATCAAGGCCATGCCACTCCTCATTGCTAAACAAAAGTCTTAGATCACAAAGTAACACATGATCTGCTGCAATTCTGAAGTTGTAATAGCCTTTGCGAGGCACACATTGACCATTGATAACCAAGTGGAGCTCAACAAGTTGCCTACGAGATTGTTTTGCCATTTCATTCACATCCTGAAAGACCAACGCCAAAGCAACAATAGGGAACTTCCCACGAGCCCAGAAACGAGGATTCCCTCCATTGCCTCTAAAGTCAAACCATTCTGGAATCTCAGTTTGGGGCATCACAACTTCTAATCCACGTATCTCTTTTGACACCTATCATATCACAAAAACCATTTTTGTTAATAAAATAAGAGAAATACACTTCATAACATACTCTCTTTATGGTGTAAAGAAATAGTGTGCAAATGTTGTTTTCCTAAGATAAAGGTATAAGATTTTAGCACAAGCAATAAAGTGGTGATACCTGAGACCATAACATGGTTGACGTCTCTCGAGTTAAAGAGAAGCAGTATCTTGCATCTACTTTCTGAATAGTAGATGGCAAATCTGAAATGTCCTCAAGCTTCCCACAACGATGGACATTAAGAATTCTCAAGTTAGTGCATTCAGGAATTTTTTTAAGATTCTTGCAAACACTCACATCGAGACTTGTCAAGTGAACAGATTCTTTAATGCAAGCAGGAAGAGATACAAAATTGTTTTCCGATGCAATCAACTCTTCTAATTTTGAAAAACAGTTGAGAACTGCATGAAGATCTTCATCTGACAAACCACCATTTTCGAAATACAATGTTTGTAATGGTGAACGACCTTCTGCTGCTGAAGGACCCCCTATGAACCATGTGAAGGATTCTCGAAGTTGAGAACATCCTCCCATTTTAAAGGCAACAACATTTGGCAACATGAATAAGCTACTAGGTAGATATCTGAGTTTCCTGCTACTTGGCATATCTATACAAACAAGCCCAATAAGATTACCAACGGAATCTGGCAGTTCCTTAACAGCAGTATTTATCATATAAATCTTCAATGGCTTATTCATCTTTTTCACTACATCTGGGAAGTGTTCAAGTCTTATGCATAAATTAAGATCAAGGACTTCCAGAGATGGCAGAAACATTCTTTGCAGGAAATTTCTGAGTTTGGTGCATTGCGAAACACTTAAGTGAAGAAGATTTTTGAGAAATCCAACAGATTCATGAACCTCAGTTAGGTTCCTACAATTATCAAGTCTCAATTCTCTTAAATTTTGAACCTCAGACACATCAGTCATTCCAGTGACAGATTGACTATGTGAGAAATTCATTTGAGTCAAACATGAAAATTTCTGCAAAAAGAAAATGTCAATAAAAATTGATAAGCAGTATGTTCAAGTTATTATATAAACTTTTTTGATTCGAGTAACAACTGAGGTTATTGTTAAATGTAAAAATGGAAAGAAAATAATAGAAAACATGATCTACCTTAAATGGCTTTTCCAGTTTAAGATCGCTTTTACACATATTGAAAACAATGATTTTCTTCGGATGAAACTCAGGTGGGAAAGATTTTGAAGGGTACTCCATCCAATCAAGCAGCCTTAAATGATTTGGGAGATGTTTAGGCTCTGATGAAAAGGATGTATTTCGAACAATGAGAATTCTGAGCCTTTTCATCTCCTTAAAGGCAGTACCACACCAATCTACTTCTTCTCGTTGAGGGGGATCAAGCATTATCCCTTCAATTTTTTCACTTCCCTTTAAAACAAGTAAAAGGAAACAACTCATTTGCATATTGTCATTAATGACAAAGACAATAAGTATAAATCAGAAAAATAAAACTAGATGATTCTTACAGAATTTTCAGTTAATACTTCAAGAACATCTTCATAAAACCATAATCTGCTACGTTGGCCAGGATTTAATGGTGCCTCCTGCCTAACAATCTCTCTACCCATATCTTGTATTAGATCATGCATCTTCAAGCAGCCATATTCAACAGTTAGGAGAGATTTGTTAGCAAGTTCTTTAATATGAAATGTTGCACCGAAGTCCTCTAGTATCTTTGTAATAGACTCTATTCTCTCCCCTTTGAAGAAGCAAGCTATGTCTAGGAAAACCTGCTGAGCATGTTCCTCCAATCTATCAAAGCTTATTTTGAGCACGTTTTGAATCTTCTTATTTGGAATCCTCTCGTATTCTTTCAATGCACATTCCCAAGCATCTAAACTTTGTTCCATAGCCAAATCAGAGCCTATTACTTTTAAAGCCAGTGGAAGACCCTGTGCATAACCAACTGCACGAGAAGACAAATCTTCATAACCTGTTGGAGGATGGCTCTTTTTGAAGGCATTCCAACAAAAGAGCTCAAGGGAATGCAGATCATTAAGTTCTGTCATTTTATAAATCTTTTCAACTTGATGAGCAATTAGCAAACCTTTGTCCCTTGTTGTTATAATGACCCTGCTACCTGAACCAAACCAATCACATCCTCCTGCTAATTTTTCTAACATTCCTATGTCATCAACATCATCAAGAACCAAAAGAACTTTCTTACGGTGAAGCTTGCGTTTTATTTCATAGATTCCTTTACTTGTACTGCCCAACTCCGTTTCCAACTCCTCCAACATCTCTGATAAAAGTGTTTTCTGTAGATCTTCAATACGATTGATTTTGTTTGATTTCTCTCTAACATTGGCAAGAAAACTTGCGGCTTCGAATTGGTGGGCAATCTTGTTATACAAAGCTTGTGCAAGGGCTGTTTTCCCTATTCCACCAGCTCCATATATGCCCAACATGCATACAGTGTCATCATTAGGCTTCATGTCTAAAAGTGACTTCACCTCTTCTGTGCGTGACTCAAGTCCAACTAGGTTCTGATCAATATGTAAAGGTTTAGGACCTATATTAACATAGATCTCCTTAACAATCTTTTCAACAAAATTGATTTCGTACCTGCAGGAACACATCTCATTATTGGTTTAGTTGCAGGATTTATCTCATCATATATAGTAATAAACACTGGAATAACCAATACAATAATAAATTATCACATGACCTGGTGAATAAAATTAAACTGAAACAGAAAAAGAATCAGACAGCAGGAATCAACACGCTGGAATGGGATGAATTTTTATTAGAATAATGTTATAATTCTAGGAAAAGTTGATTCAGCGCATATAAAAAGTACATTATAATTAATAAAAAAAAATAGAAAAAGTTTTTTCTATAAAGTTATCTCCCGGTTTTGGAGAAGAAAATATTGGTATTTTAAAAATTTTACTTATCTCATCGAACATGAATTTTAGGGCTTTTTTTATCCACAACAGTTATTTTAGATTACATGAGATAACTTTCTCTACTTGAAACACTCATAAAATTAATACATGGATCATTTTACAACTAATAAAATGTTTGGGAACCTCAACAGCCAAAAGAAAATGTATGAAAGAAATTGTAGGCACATACCCAGAACTAATATGGTGGCCTTTTAAGTTAGCTACTTCAGACAAAGCTGATCTCCATGCCTGCACTCTCTCTGAGTCTTTGCCAAACCTATCCTCGTGTGCATTCATGGCTTCCCTGTAATGATTTCTCTGATGCCTTACATCTGAAGGTTCTACATGGTAAAAAATTGGGAAAACAAGTTGTTTGTTGTTCCTCTTGATACAGTCTAGGATCTTGTCAAGTTCATCAAGGCACCATGTGGAAGATGCATAATTCTCAGAAAACACAATGATCATAATCTTAGATTCTTCAATGGCTTTGCAAAGGGCAGGTGAAATACCTTCCCCTATCCTCAGATTCTCATCATCCACAAAAGCGTTAATTCCCTTACGGCGCAACTCTTTACGAAAATGTCCTATAAATGTGTGCCGTGTATCTTCACCTCTAAAACTAAGGAAAACATCATAGGTAAAACTACATGACTCTTCCCCATTTTTTGCCATAGTAAAAGCAACAACACTTGAGCTTTGAGGATGCTGGAACAGTAGAAATGTTTGTCAAAGAAAAGAGGAGGATGCTATATTGGTTTTAGTACGAGGAGAGGAGGAGGATGATAATTACTATTGTGTTCTGCTTAAACACAATATCTTAAAGGGGATAGACTACAGAGACTATAGCGTGAAGCAAGTATAGTCAACTATCAATGAACCTTCATGGGAGGTTCTCTATGATTATTATATGGATTTAAAGTTTTTCTTTATGATTATTATAAGAATTGAAATTTTTTAAAGTTACTTTATATAATTTTATTTAATGTTTATCAAAATACATATAAAAATATATATAAAATCCATCTGAACTCATATAAAACATATATATATATATATATATATATATATATATAAATTTCTTACACTTTTATGTATATATTTTAAAAAGAGTAAAGACCATTTTTGATCCCTTCAAAAAACACGATCCCTACTTTAGTCTCTTACAAAAATAAATTAGTCAGTTAGTCCCCTAACAAATTCAAGGTGGACCCATTTTAGTCCTTTTGAGGGACTAATATGGGTATTTTTTGAATTTGTGAGGGACCACGATTTCAACTAAATGGGTCCACTTTGAATTTGTTAGGGACTAACTGACTAATTTATTTTTGTAAGGGACTAAAGTATGAACCGTGTTTTTTGTTAGGGACTAAAAAAGATATTTACTCTTTTAAAAATATTGAATAAAATTATCTAAAATAATTTTAAATTCTTATTATTTTACGTGTAGCAATTATAGTCATGTTATGAGGCGTTTGGTAGAGGAAATTTTTTTTTTATTCCGAAATCTAGATTTTCAGAAATATGATGAAAACATTCAGTTTACGATAATATCTGAAAATTAAAAATTTAAAAAAATTTAATTTTTCAAAAATCCTGAAAAATACTTTGTACCAAACGGTTTAGTAAACCTTCTTTACAAGGGATATTGACCAAACTACCACGATTTGACATGAAATATATCAGAATAACAACATGGGGATGAAATATTTTTCCAAAGCCACAGCACTATAGTTATTCACAAAGTACTAAAAAAAAATAAACTTTGGTCTTGGAACTATTAATTGAGAGCATGATTGGATCTTTTTTTTTTTTTAAGTTAAAAGCTACTTATAAGATAAAGCTAAAAAAGAGAGCTTAAAAAAAAGTTAAAAGCTATTTTGTAATTACATAAAAAATTTAACTCAAAAGCACATATTTCAAGAGAATTATCTTTTTTTTTATACAAGAAAATTATCTTTTTCTATCTTTATAATTTTTTATTTAAAAAAAAATACACAATTCAAGAAAAACAGATAAGAGCTTAAAAAAAACTCCTTCTAAAAGTTTTTAGCTTTCAACTTTTTTCTTCGTATTATAAAAAAAAAAAAAAGTAAATACCTTTTTTGGTCCCTAACAAAAAAACACAGTCCCCACTTTAATCCCTTACAAAAAAAAAATTAGTTAGTTGGTATCTAACAAATTCAAAGTGAACCCATTTAATTGAAATCATGATCCTTCACAATTTCAAAAAGACCCATATTAGTCCCTCAAAAGGACTAAAATGAGTCCACTTTGAATTTGTTAACTAATTTTTTTTTGTATGAGACTAAAGTGAGGACCGTGTTTTTTTATTAGAGACCCAAAAAAATATTTACTCAAAAAAAAAATTCATTATAAGAAGTTTTTCTAAAATCTGCTTGATCTTATAGTTATAAATAACTACTCACCGAATTTGACTGAATGCATCAGATAGGCATAGATGTCTTGTTGTGACAATACACATGCTTTAGTTGCGCAATGTATAATGCTTCAGGCCATTTTGCATTAAAAAAAATAGGATTGCATTAATTTTTGTGGGGTCCGCTGGAATTTAAAAAGTGGTCATTCCTTTGATAGTCTTTATGTAATATTTACCGGTGAGGGTCCTTATATCGTGGGTTTGATTTTCTATTACTATCTATATACATGTTAGCTTCGTTTTTCCCAAGAAAATAATCGTCTGTTTCTCAGAGCAGAATTCACTCGTGTAACAATATACAAATCAAGAATACAGCTATCTAAATGACAGAGATCGTTCCCACGAAGAACAATGAAATTTGGTTCTTTCTGTTATTCTAACTAGTTTTCTTGAACTAATCAATTAAAATTCAGTTGACTAACAAACTGAAATCTGTAATTGAATAGCAAAAAGTTAAAACCAATCATATACACAACTATTAAGCACAGTATATGAACCACTGGAACCTTGACTTATTTGTGATGACCTGTTCTATTTCACTGCTGTAATTAACTTGTTACAGGTGACGAAGGTCAAGTGCTACATTATTTTCTGGGAATTCCCAAACCCAGATTTCAACCAAGTTTAATCCTGTTCCCAGAATTATACCCTGTTGGTATTCAAGATTAATTATTTTCCTTCACTTCAAAAAATTATCCCTGACTTCATTTCCCAATAAAGATCATTTCAAATATTTTCAAGACAATGGCCAATTATGAACAAAACAGATTTCTGTTAACGGAAAATAAAAAATTATGCTTCACAAATCAATTTGATTAATGGGTCTTCAGTCTTCACCATTTCATCCATAATCCAGAAAAAGAGTTAGAAACACATTGTAACACGAACATAAAAGACAATACTCAAATTGAAAATAAACTGCATTGTACCAATCTTCAAATGTAAACAAGTATTTAAGTACAGACCATTGAACTTCAAATATCATTGTTCATAAAAGAACTAATTAGCATAAAGAAGTCTGAATTCACACAATACAACACGGGAAATTGATCTTCTTGAGTTCCCTCCAAGAATCTCTTCCTTCCTCGTGCTTATTTCCAAAAGAACTAAAAAAAAACAGAATTCAAAAGCTTCAAATTGTCTGCTGACCCTACGATCATGCTGCATCCAATGGTCGGACTTCACCTCATATCAGCCTCCTGCCCACATGGCTCATTTGCTGCAATGACATGGCAAAGTATACGTGTTATTCGCAAAAATGCCATCCAATCTAACAAATACGTTTACGGGCCAATCCTTTATAATTTGGACCAATTAACCTGCAATTTAAGTCACTTAACAGCCCAAAAGAGTTTAAAACATGGGTATTAAACAACGTAAACTGACAAACTAACAATATACTAATAATTCTTACATTATTAGTACCAAAAAAAGACTAAATATAGTGATTAAAGTAGAAAACAATGGTGGGATATGCATAATTAATGTGACTCACCTGGGACAATCTAAGAGCATCATTTTATTGACCAAAACCTATGAGCTGGAGGGGTTTGAAGTCTCAGGAGAGTTGTAAACTTCTGGATCAGTAGGACCTGGAATATCTGCTGCACCAATTGTTTCATCAAGATTTTCATTATCAGCAGTCTCAATATGTTTCTCCTTGGCAACTTCATCAGTAACATGTTCCTCTTGGGCAGCCTCATCATCAGTTGCACGTTTCTCATTGGCAGCCTCCTCATCAGTAACATGTTCCTCTTTAGCAGCCTCCTCCTCATCAGTTGCATGTTTCTCATTCTCCTTAAACACTGGAATCATTCTCTCCATGTCCAGAGCAAGTGAGATCGCCTGTGCTTCAAGGATACCATCCCTAAGTCCATTCAAGTATATAGCACTCATCAGATCTTGAAACTCTTCCGAGTTATGGAAGCCTTCAATGCCAGCATCATAAAGCCTCCGTAACTCTTCATCCCTTCCCTTCAAAACAGCAGCCAGCTTCTCATACTTTGCAACACCTTTGCAGCCTCCTATTCCAATGGCTGTGTGCATCTCTGTGCTAATCAAAGCAGAATTTGAGTCAGAAATATTTGTTGCCTTCGCTTCGGCATCATCAGTACCATCAAGGTTGTGATTCTTCTTTGAAATAAGCTCAGCAGATTGAGTGTTGAATTTCTCAAGCAATTCATCATATTGATTTTTCCAATAGCTGGCTGCATCAGTATCTTTATTCTGATCAACGCTTTCATTTTCAAATTCTTCAAATCTCTGGCGCAGTGCTTTGTGTTCCTCCTTCAACTTGCAATATAGTTTACTCTTGGCCTCAGATTCACAACTTTCCGGCTTCATCATCATGAATGCTTGCAACAAAGGATCGTCAGAGCAAGGAACCATCACTGTAGTCGAATCCAATACTTGTGGAATCACAGGTGGTGCTTCAGTAGGTACTTTAAGGATCGCCCTACTTAACACGGTATTTAGTGTTGCCTCTATATCAAGAGTAGGAAAGCTTTGCTTTGCTTCCATGAGTCCATTAAAGATTCCTTCTATGTATGTCTTCTCTTCTACTTGGGGTAGTACTAGTACCCCTGACTCTGGCAGTGACCATGCAACCCTATTACCCTTGTTTAAGGCAGCACATCTGGTTGTCTCTATATCTAGAGAAGGAAAGCTATTCTGTGCTTCAAGAAGTCCATCCTCCATTCCATCCCAAAATATTCCCATCAATATTTGTTCTTGTTGGGGATCGCTGCCACTTCCCTGATGTCCAGGGCTTAAAGCTTCTCCTATATTTATAGGAGAATTAAACATATCAACAAAAAATCTTCCCATATCTAGTTGTTGGGGATCGCGGCCACTTCCCTGATGGCGAGAGATTGAAGCTTCTCCTTCATCCATACGACGCTTCGACATTCCTTCCAAAAATCTTCCCATATCTAGTTGATGGGGACCGCTGCCGCTTCCCATAGAAGGCTTCAATTCATCACCCTTTAGACGCATCACTGCAAGATCCTCATGAAAAAAGACTCCAGGCCCATCTACCTCATCACCTTTATTAATAGTGTCTAGCAACCATTCAAGGGTGGATTTTTTACCTTCTAGAGCTGATCCTTTTCCATTGGATTCTAATAAATCCTTAGCCTGACTCGATATCTTCTTCAAACCTCCCATTAGAACTTGATGTGCCTCCATAGAAAAATCTTTATCTGCAAAACCCTCTCGTTCTTCGTAGTTCATGGTTTCAATCAACATTCGATCAAACATTCTTTCTAGACCTGAGCTCTCTATCATCTTCATTTTTTCCATCTTAGAATCCCTTGTAGGAATTATTGTCCGTGATATGTTAGCTATATCTGAGTACTCGGGATCAGGACACATGAATTGGACATCATCGACTTCGGTTCCTTGTTTGTACACATAAACTCCCCAACAACTTAGTGCTAAGGTGGCTGCATACGAAACCTGCACTATGTTCCAATCATGCTCAAGAAATGCATCAAGACCATGCCACTCCTCATCGCTGAACAAAAGTCTCAGATCACAAAGTAACACATGATCTGCTGCAATTCTGAAGTTGTAATAGCCTTTGCGAGGCACACATCGACCATTGATAAACAAGTGGAGCTCAACAAGTTGCGTACGAGATTGTTTTGCCATTTCATTCACATCCTGAAAGACCAACGCTAAAGCAACAATAGGGAACTTGACATTCCTACGAGCCCAGAAACGAGGATTCCCTCCATCGCCTCTGAAGTCAAACAATTCTGGAATCTTAGTTTGGGGCATCACAACTTCTAATCCACGTATCTCTTTTGACACCTATCATATCACAAAAACCATTTTTGTTAATAAAATAAGAGAAATACACATCATAACATACTCTCTCTAAGGTGTAAAGAAATAGTACTGTGCAAATGTTGTTTTCCTAAGATAAAGGTGGTATAAGATTTTAGCACAAGCAATAAAGTAGTGATGATACCTGAGACCATAACATGGTTGACGTCTCTCTAGTTAAGGAGAAGCAGTATCTTGCATCTACTTTCTGAATAGTAGATGGCAAATCTGAAATGTCCTCAAGCTTCACACAGCGATGGACATTAAGAATTCTCAAGTCAGTGCATTCAGGAATTCTTTTAAGATTCTTGCAAACACTCACATCGAGACTTGTCAAGTGAACAGATTCTTTAATGCAAGCAGGAAGAGATACAAAATTGTTTTCTGATGCAATCAACTCTTCTAGTTTTGGAAAACATTTGAGAACTGCATGAAGATCTTCATCTGACAAACCACCATTGTCGAAATACAATCTTTGTAATGGTGAACAACCTTCTGCTGCTGAAGGACCCTCTATGAACCTTGTGAAGGATTCTCGAAGTTGAGAACATCCTCCCATTTTAAAGGCAACAACATTTGGCAACATGAATAAGCTACTTGGTAGATATCTGAGTTTCCTGCTACTTGGCATCTCTATACAAACAAGCCCGATAAGATTACCAATAGAATGTGGCAGTTCCTTAATAGCAGTATTTATCATGTAAATCTCCAATGGCTTTGTCATCTTTTCTACTACATCTGGGAAGTGTTCAAGGCTTACGCATAAATTAAGATCAAGGACTTCCAGAGATGGTAGAAACATTCTTTGCAGGAAATTTCTGAGTTTGGTGCATTCCGAAACGCTTAAGTGAAGAAGATTTTTGAGAAATCCAACAGATTCATGAACCGCAATTAGGTTCTTACAATTATCAAGTCTCAGTTCAATTAAATTTTGAACCTCGGACACATCAGGCATTTCAGTGACAGATTGACTATGTGAGAAATTCATGTGAGTCAGGCATGAAAATTTCTGCCAAAACAAAATGTCAATAAGAAATGATAAGCAGTCTGTTCAAGTTATTATATGAACTTTTTTTGTTCGAGTAACAACTGGAGTTATTGTTAAGTGTAAAAATGGAAGGAAAATGACAGAAAATATGGTGTACCTTAAATGGCTCTACCAGTATAAGATTGCTTTTACACAAATTGAAGACAATGATTTTCCTCGGATGAAATTCTGCAGGGAAAAACATTGAGGGGTACTCCATCCAATCAAGCAGCCTTAAATGATTTGGGAGATGTTTAGGCGCTGATGAAAAGGATGTATTTCGAACAATGAGAATTCTGAGCCTTTTCATCTCCTTAAAGGCAGTGCCATTCCAATTTACTACTTCTGGTTGAGGGGGATCAAGCATTATCCCTTCAATTTTCTCACTTCCCTTTAAAAACAAGCACAAGGAAACAACATCATTTGCATATTGTCATTAATGCCAAAGACTATAAAGTATAAATCAGAAAAACAAAACTAGATGATTCTTACAGAATTTTCAGTTAATACTTGAACAACATCTTCACAAAACCATAGTCTGCTACGTTGGCCAGGATTTAATGGTGCCTCCTGCCTAACAATCTCTCTCCCCATATCTTGTATTAGATCATGCATATTCAAGCAGCCATATTCAACAGTTAAGAGAGATTTGTTAGCAAGTACTTGAATATGAAATGTTGCACTGAACTCCTCAAGTATCTTTTCAACAGACTCTTTTCTCTCCCCTTTGAAGAAGCAAGCGATGTCAAGGAAAACCCGCTGAGCATTTTCCTCCAATCTATCAAAGCTTATTTTGAGCACGTTTTGAATGCTCTTTTTTGGAATCCTCTCGTATTCTTTCAATGCACTTTCCCAAGCATCTAAACTTTGTGCCATAGCCAAATCAGAGCCTATTACTTTTAAGGCCAATGGAAGACCCTGTGCATAACCAACTGCACGAGAAGATAAATCTTCAAAACCTGTTGGAGGATAGCTCCTTTTGAAGGCATTCAAACAAAAGAGCTGAAGGGAATGCTGATCATCAAGTTCTGTCATTTCATATTTCTTTTCAACTTGATGAGCAATTAGCAAATCTTTGTCCCTTGTTGTTATAATGACCCTGCTACCTGAACCAAACCAATCACATCCTCCTGCTAATTTTTCTAACATTTCTTTGTCATCAACATCATCAAGAACCAAAAGAACATTCTTCCCCTGAAGCTTGAGTTTTATTTCAGAGATTCCTTCACTTGTACTGCCCAACTCCGTTTCCAACTCCACCAACATCTCTGATAAAAGTGTTTTCTGCAGATCTTCAATACCATTGATTTTGTTTGATTTCTCTCTAACATTGGCAAGAAAACTTGCGGCTTCGAATTCGTGGGCAATCTTGTTATACAAAGTTCGTGCAAGTGCTGTTTTCCCTATTCCTCCAGCTCCATATATGCCCAACATGCATACAGTGTCATCATGAGGCTTCATGTCTAAAAGTAACTTCACCGCTTCTGTGCGTGACTCAAGTCCAACTGGGTTCTGATCAATATGTAAAGGTTTAGCAGCCATAATATCATACACATCCTTAACAATCTTTTCAATAAAATTGATTTCGTACCTGTAAGAACACATCACATTATTGGTTCAATTAGTTGCAGGATTTATCTCATCATATATAGTAAAAAATGATGTTAGAAAACAAAGAGAGTTTTTTTTTTTTTTTTTTTTGTGACCACTGACGGTTATTTTATTTTTTATTTTTTTCCAACATAACTTTTCACCAAAACCTGAATGAGAGAATCAGAACTGGTGGCAGTTTTTACAAAGAAAAAAAAAATGTCTATATTTATGTACAGAAAAGTTTAGAAGCATTATATATCATATGATGCACGTATATTGGTTAAGGCATGGCATCGAAAGTTTGTGTGCTTTGTATTAAAAGGATCATACCTCAATATATATATATTGAAATTTATTATGTATCAACTTTATTTGCTGAAAGCCGAATTGATGTTTTTCGCTGTGCATATTGATAAAACCTTGTTATATGCATACGATGAATAGAGATGTTCAAAATGTCCAAAAGAATCAAACCGATCCATAACCAAATTGTTCCACATTTTAAAAACTGGTTATTTTTAAAAACCGGTTTCATATGAAACTGCATTTTATTTTATAAACCGGTTATTTACCAAACAAAAAATATAATTGGTTATCCATGGTTATTCATAACCAAACTATTTTACAATTAAAGAACAAATAAGTATTATATTTTATCCTTAACATTAAAATGTGAAAATTACATAAATATAAATCATTTTTAAATGTGACATTATTAGAAAAGTCTCAAATACTCAAAATTCGTGATAGAATCTAAATTCCGTCGAAACTTTCGACAGAAAGAATTCTGTCAAACTTTTCAACGAAAAATAATTCTGTAAAAAATTTTGACGATACACATTTTCATAAAAAAAAATTGACAGAAAATAATTTCGTCAAATTTTTTTGACGAAAAATATATCCGTCCGAATTTTCGACAAAAAATATTTTCAACAAAACACATTTACAGCGAAAATTTTGACCAAAAATATTTACGTAAAAAATTTGGACGAAAAATATTTCTGAAATTTTTTTTTGATGGAAAATATTTCTATAAATGCACTTCAATCTAATGGGATTGCTGAGAGAAAGAATCAAAAATTGGAAATAAATGATAAATGCTATATTATTGATGTTTGGTTTACCACAAAATTTGTGGTGGGAAGTCAATTTAATGACAAATTATATAATCAATACAGTACTCCACAAGAAAACAAAGAACATCCCTTATGAAATGTGGAAAGATAGGAAGCCTACCTGGAATTATCTTAAAGTGTGGGGGTGTTTGGTAAGGGTCGTGATTTCGAAACCAAAAAAGGTTAAGATCGGACTAAGACGGTGGACTGTGAATTCACTATATGTTTGGGGGTGTTTGAATCAATGACTTTATTTCCACTAAGTCCAAAAGTGGGTATGTGTACACACTTGGTGGAGGTGTTATGTCTTAAAAATCATCCAAGCAAGTATGTAAATATAACAACCCTAACCTACTAAATGAATAATTAAAGATTTATTTTGATGATATGAAAGGTAAAATTGAATTAATTATGTGATTTAGAGCATTTTGGCACTTTTTGATAAAAAAAATGAGAGGCAATTCTTTGAAAAATGTTTTCCTGACGAGGCCAGAGAAAGAAAAAAAGGGGGAGTTTGAAGATCTGAAGTTGGGTAATATGTCTGTGGATGAGTATCTAGCTAAATTCAACAAGTTGACCAAGTATTCTAATTTCAAGAGAGCTGCTCCTACTGAAGAAGATGTGGCATTTAAATTCAGGGGAGGTCTTAATGATAAAATTGCAAAAAGACTAGTTGTTAATTGTTCTCGGGATTATGTGGCTCTAGTTAAACAGTGCAAGGACATTCAAGAGTACTATAGAAAGAAAGATGGCCAAGAATCTACTTCTAAAAATTCGAGTGGCAAGAATTCTTCATGGAGTAATAAAGATAAGAATCTTTAGACCAGGCAATCAGGTGGTAAGTTCTGTAACATCCCGAGAGCTAACGAGGGCGGGGAGTGATCGCCGGTGCAAAGAGGCACGGACAAAGAACGACTCCTGACAGGCTTCCAGCGGGAAGTTACATGCACGAATGAATCGAATCGACACCCGAAAGAGAGGTATTCCAAAGACTGTGCAGGTATGAGACTACACAGTTTGGGATAGCTTATAAGAATTAATTAGTACTACCTATATTAACAAAATGCATCTACTTTTTGATAGCCCGGAACGGAAGAAATCCATAGTTAAGCGTGCTTGACTTGGAGCAATTCTGGGATAAGTGACCTTCAGAGAAGTTTTTTCGGGAAGTGTGCGAGTGAGAAAAAAGCACACTGAAAAGTCTCGTGTTAGAATGTGGGGATATTCATTGATTCTTGAAGCGGTCAAGCGTTACAAGTGCAAGAAGTCTGGTAAGCAAAAATCTAGTAATTTTAAAGGTGCATTTTAGTGTCCTAAATGTGGTAAGAATTATTATGGCGTCTGTCAGAAATAACAGAATTTGTGTTTCAAGTATGGAAATTTTGGCCACTTTATTAAGGATCTTCCCCAGATGAGGTGACAGGTTTCTACTGCTCATGTGGTCTCTATTGCAAATATGATTGAAAGTCCACCTTGTACATCATGTGTTTATTCTTTGGATCATAAGGATGCTATAAAATCTCTCAATCTTGTTAAAGGTATGATCTACATTGATAGCTATGATAGGAGTGTTTTATTTGATTCTGAAGCTACACAATCTTTTGTGTTGAGTCTTGTGGCATTGGGGTTAAATATACACATGTATAATTTTTACCCTCCAATGGTGGTTCAGACTGCTACATGTGAGAAACTCTTGACCTCTGTGATTTGTATAGATTTTGAATTCATGTACGAGGGTAAGAACTATACCGTTGATTTGGTCGTTTTGGAAACGACGGGTCTGGAAATAATTCTGGGAATAGATTGAATGATGAAACATTGTGTCATGATTGATTGTTGCACGATGTCTCCTAGAGACAATTCTCTAAGGCCAAAATGGACACAAATTAAGATTAACCATGTCCGATAAATAATTGTGTATATTCTATTGTCTTGGTTTTCACACAAGATCAAAGGTTACAATTGATTGACCAAGTAAATCTGATAGGCCTTACTAGGGACAGTTACAAGGCATTGTATCCACTGAACCTGATGCAGTTGTTCCTCATTGATCAATTGCACATTGCATTTGAGTCTCATATGCAAGGTTGTCAAAATTACGATGAGGATTGTAGGATCCTACGATTTTTTTCATCCCAGCGATCCAGATCGCAAGTGAAATCGTCCTCAACTTAGATCATATGAGATCGCTGAATCTCACCATTTTAACGATATTAAAAAAAGCCCCACGATCAGAATCTGAAGATTGGAGATCAAAGAGAATTTTAACCATAGATGAGACCTTGGGAAAGTCAAGAACCATTATCACAGAAAAGAATGAACTTTGCAAGATGGGGATGGAGAGGAAAGTTTTAGTGGCTTGAACATAGCTCACACTAGTTCCATCACCATCTTCTCTCTGCCACTTGCCTTTGCTGTCTACGTTGTTGGAATCGACAACCAAACGAATATGGTCATCACCATCTTTTCTTTGACACTCATTTATTGTGGTTTGACTGGTTTCTCTTTGCCTTTGTCTGTGCTTCGACCAGATAAAAGAAAGAATGATACTACCACTCACTCACTACAATTTCTGGTTGAAACTTTATCTAGTCGTATCATTCTTTCTTTTACTTTTGTATTATTGGTTCTCTTAGCCTTGTGTGAGTCATATTCTAACAATTAGCTAGCTTCAACCATTACTTTTAAGGATTATTCTTATATAATAATGGGTCATGGTGCGCAACCATTATTCTAATATAATTATGGTATATTAAAAATAATAAAATTGTAAAAATGGAAAAAAAAAAAATTTACTTAACCAAAAAATTAAAAAAATTATCAATTAAGGATTATGTGATAAATTATTTATTTACTTTAAATAAAAAAGCTTAATATAATATGATTATGTGATAATTTATTTGATTATTCTTTTGATTTTAATATTTTATAGGGATAGTAACAATCTTACGATCCATGTTGATTTTACGATTTACGATTTTTTTACCTCCTCCCGATCTTAGGTAAGATCTCGATCTTAACAACATTGCTCATACATAGAGTTGGTAAAAAGGGCCAACCCGACCCAACCCGTGTTCAACCAAAAAAAAACGAGTCGGGTTAGGGTTGGCTCGATAAATAAACGAGCCAGAAAACTCAACCCAACTCGGGTTAGGGTTGGCTCGAAAAAAAAAAATAAATAAAATTTCATTGAAGCTGTAACTTCTAAATTTTTTTCCTAAATTATTAATTCATTCAATACAAAAACATTATACAGATAAACCATAGAAAATTCCTTTTGCATTTGGACTTGAACTTATTGGCAGTTGGCACCACATTCACACTAGGGGTGAAAGTGGGTTGGGTTGTGCCAATCTTTGCCTCGAAAAGCCTAAGCCTATGCCAAAAATTTTTAATTTAGTTTGGCCCAAGCTTAGTACGAGTCTAATGTTAGTCTGACTTGGCCCGTTTATAAAAAAATAAATGGCCTGGCCTAGCCCGTTAGCCTATTAATTTTTAATTTTCAAGCAGAACCATGAATCAACTTCACAAAATACTCAAATTCTGTTGTTAAACCAAAAATCACAATTTCAACGTCCAAACAGAAGCATGAATCACAAAAAAACTCATTATAATTAGCATTTAAGTCACTTTCAAAAGCAAAACTCTCAAATTAAATAACATATATTTCATGAGATCCAACAAACAAATCTATACTACGTAAATTAAAATAACTACATGAATCTAACAAACACATCATGATATCTGTAGTAAGTATAACCTCTCCTAAAAACCTTTTAATATTTTCATATACACAATCTAACATGCTGAGATGTTGGTTCCTCCTA